ACTAACACCTCTACAGCTAGAATTTTCAATTTGGTAGTAATTACAATGTTCAGCGAAATTCAGTCTAAAAATTGAAGTATTGTAAAAATAATTTTAAATATCTCTTTCATATAATTATCGATATAGTATTAACCATATAGATGCAGGTTTGAAAATCGTGACAGAAACATTCCAAATAATGCATGCCAAGTCGTACGGCAATATGAGGGATAACCAAATAATCGACTTATACTGAACATTTTCTGCCGGACAGTTTGTATCCTCTAGCACCTGATATATTAAAATATAACGATTTGCTAAGAACTTGTTGCTAGAAAATTCAAAATGCCAAAAATGAGGGGTAACCGTAATATGGGGAACACCACAAGCCCTTATTAGGAACACCACAAATTTCGAATCATTTTTTGATATAGCCCCCATATAAAGGTACCAGCTGATTTCATATTTTTTTGGAACGGTTGTCCACTTTTTTCGCCGTATTTGATTTCGTATTGGGTTTGTCAATTCGCTTAACAACAGCACAATGGGCTAAAATTAAAGGTACCACCCGATCTTCGGGGTCTTCTTATTTTTGGAATTTTAAGGGTTTCGGTTCATTTATATCCTGAGCCATATGGCTACAGAGGCTATATATTGTTTGATTCGGCCAAATCATGCCTCATCGAAATTAACGGTATTTAGACCCTATGTCTCCTTGGAAGAAATCTATTTCAGGACATTTAAATTCAGTCCTGCAATATTCGGCTCTCCGTTTGTCTGTCTGACTGTAAAAGGGAGTATACGATTTGGTCCAAATTTGGTAATATAATTAATATTTTATATGTATTCATGATATTTTTACAAAACTTGAAGCCAATTCGGAAATAAGTAATATCGATTCATTCCTTCTGGTGCCACCCTCCACAAAAATTTAACATTTTTAAATACAAGACTAATGTATTTTATGTTTAGTGAATGGAATACCCAAAATATGGGATACTCCTATATAAAGCGAATCGAGTACCCTATATAGTCCGGCGTTGGTGCGTAATATTATTTATTGGTCATGAACGAACATAGAAAATATATGCCCACTGCTTCCCGAAGGTAAAAAATGTAAACGTCAATGAATTTCATAAAATGTAAAAAAAATACCATGGAAAAGAGCGAACATTAAATGTGTCATTCCGTGTGTAGCACCTTCATATATTCGTGGGAAACTCCAGAGCGCATATATTCATGATCTGTATAAAATTCTGAGTCAATTTAATGATGTCTGTCGGCCTTGTGAAATGAAGATACGACCCAAATTATTAGACGTATTAAAAATTTGAAACAATAATTTGTGTTTGTCTAGTTTTGTTATTATTGAAAATAAAAAATGGAATATCAGTCTACGTTTTCGTACAGCGCATAAAACGGTTCATCCCAATATTCGGTATTGTAATGATTTTAGCGATTTTTTTTTCTCTGAATTTTTCCAAATTTGATAATTCTAAATAGGTTCTAGCTCTTATGGAATAATATTGCCTATGTAGGTCTACGTTTTTCTATATCCCCCATTTAACGTTACCTCCAAATATTGGGTATTTTTACAATTTATCCCATGTTTTCTATAGGATTTGTTTAAAATTCTTACCACGGAATTTTTTCAAATTTGGTATTCAAGACTAGCAACGGATAACAATCTCTTGATATTGCGCCCATGTACATGGTTCCAACCATTTTATGGTATTTTGAATACTTTAACTTGCATCCTACAAGCGACTCACTGATTTTTGCAATTTAAATTGAAATACGTTCGAATATTAAGTCCAGTTATTTATAACCTCAGCCATATGGCTACGGCAAAATCGTGCCTCATCGAAATAACGGTTTTAGACCCTAGGTCTCTTTGGACCAAATCCATTTCAGGACACCTAAATCGTGACGTTCGTCCGATTTAATCCAAACTTGGTACGTAATATTATCATCAAACTTAAATCGAGTTCGGATATGGACAATATCGGTTCAATCCATCCAGTACCTTCCCACAAAGGGTAAACATTTTGAATAATTATAACTCTAACAAAATGTGACGTAAGAGTGCGATTGTCTTAAAATTCCATACATCACAATATTTTTTTAACCCAAGATCTTATGTGAAAATCGGATATATCGGTCCACTTCTTCTGGTATCTCCCCCCAAAGGGTCAAATTTCGAATACCAAAACGCAAAATTAACATCCGATTCCATTCAGACTTAGTAAATCACAATATTTCCATCAACACAAGATCTGTAATTAAGATGGTAGAGATCGGGCCATTCCTTCTGGTACCTCCCCCACATAGGGTAAAAATTTTGAATAATTATAACGATCATAAAATCCGAAAGCAGCATCCGGTTTTCTTCATATTTCACATATCCCATTATTTCTAATAACAAAAGATCTGCTGTGAGGATAGGATATATCGGTGCACCCCTTCTGGTATCTCCCCCACAAAGGGTCAAAACTTTGAATATCCATAAAGCTCAAAGCGCGCGAAATTAACATCCGATTCCAATCAGACTTGGCACATATCATTATTTTCATCAAAACATAATTTGTTATAGAGATGGTAGAGATCGGACTATTTCTTCTGGTACCTCCCCCAACCAGATAGGGTTCAAGATTTGAAAACTAAAAGGTTCAAAGAAAGCGAAATAAGCATTCAACTCTTTTCAAAGATCTATTATGAAGATGATATATGTCTGCGAACCCCTTCTAGTTTCTTACCCACAAAGGGTCACAATTTTCAGTACTTTTATCTGTCATAACTTGCGAAACAAGTCAGCGATTCTTTACAACTTGCTATATCTAAAGATTTTTCTCAACCAGAAACCTGAGATGAATATGAAATTTATGATTTCGCATAAAATTGAATATAAGTGTTCAATTTTTCTAGTAATTTTGCCCATATCAATTTTTTATCTATATTATGCCAATCGAATACTTCGGTCAACTATATCTGGCACCTCACGCACATTTTAACATATTCAAAAAATTTTCAATTTTCTCATATAAAGTGAAGGAAGTAACCAATATAGTCCAAACCTGGCACGTCGCAATATTTATATCATATTTATTTAGGTCCGATACGAAATGGAAAATATTGGTCCATTCCTTCGAAACATACACCATAGAGGGTCAACAATTTGAATAGTCATAAAAGAAGTCAAAATATATTTAAGTAATCGAACATTGTCGGCAAAACCCACTGATACTTTATAACTTGTTTTATTTATAATTGGTTTTTTTTTTATTGTAATATTAAATAATATATTCAAATAATAATATTTGTAACTGGTTCTTATCGGTAAAACCAGTAATAAATAATAAAATTGGTCGAAAATCAAAAAAATTATATTTTTATGCCCACTGTCGCATGGCTAAAGAGAGGATTTAAAACTGTCGAAAGGAGTACCGAATTCGGTCCACACTGAGCTCATCTTCAAATATTTATCAAATTTTAGATCAAGTTCAAGATTGATAATATCGGTATAAAAAGTAGCCTTACCTACAAACGGTAATGATTTACAAAATTATAAAAAATCCATAATTCACAGAAAGTGAAGGGTGAAGTGAATTTCGAATATTTGTATCACACCTAGTTCTAGTGAGAAAATAGTCAATGTCGGTCCACTCTTCTTGTTGCCTCTCATTCAACTTGATTTCATTTTTCAGTTGACGTTTTTGCATATTGACCAATTTTGGTCACTTCCTCCATTTCGAGTCCACCATTCCCATATCTTCCGAAATACTTTCACAAAAAAGTGCCAATCGAAGTCCAAAACCATTGTAAGGTATCCAATACTACATCACATCGATTATATCCTTTTTATTTATTTCACTCTATTCTAGCAGATAGCCACAAAAATACAAGCAATTGCAAACAATCAATAAACTGAGGTAAAGTAAGAGCACAGAAACGGGAATAAAAAATCAAAACAGACCCAGAACAAAAAAAAACACAAAATCGAAGACCACATTTGAAAGAAACTTTTAAAGCCATGCTAATGTTTTTTTTTTTTCGTTTTTTGCCTTTCTTGCCATTGCAATGTGATGACATACTCAAATGTCGCTTGACAAGTTTTTTACTTATCGTGGCAGTTTGTTATGGTAGTATCCATGCTTGGTGTTGTTGTTGTTGCTGGACCAGTTTTACTAAATGTGGGCATGGCAAGCAAGTTTTGCGTAAATTCTTCCTCCTGCTGTTCCTTTTTTGTTCGACCATTTAGCCTCAAAGAAGCGACGACAACGGCAATGCTACCCGTTTAAAATGTTCGTTCAAGCAGAAAGCCAACAAATAAACAAACAATCGACATTTTTCACATTAGACTGGTTTTTAGAATGAATTCAAGTTTCAGATTTTTTTTTATTTTACTCCCCCTTTTCGCTTTGGTCATGCTCAAAAGGAAATTAAACAATTCGGCAGTAGCCTCAAAATGGTGAATTAAGTCATCCAGAAATAAGGGGAATTATGGCATGACATCGCCTTGGCCAATCAGCGTTAAAGAGAGGTGGGACTTGCCTGGTGTAAAACACTCAAGACACAACGCACACTCTGCCGATGGGAAATGATGGAGCACAAGAGAAAGTGAGTGAGTGAGAGTGAGGGCCATTACTTGCTGGTAATGCTGCATTACTCTCAGCGTGAAAATGAGTGTTTTCCGTTATAGGAGAAAACATACTCATTTCATCTCATGGGACTTGCGCACCGGAAGTTGAGTTCAAACAACCCTTAACTTAAGGGTTGTTACCTTGTAATGGGTAATTGAGTAAACTCTTTCTCACAATGGCAATAGAGAGTAGAAGAGTACACACATTGTTTACAATGCCCTGCCGTAGAATTGTTTACAGACACCACACATTGTTTTGTGTGCATGTGTGTGTGTGAGTTTCCCTTTTTTCTGGCTGCCTTGCTGAGAGGGTTGTCATCGGCATTGTCGTCGAATTCTAGTTGAGGTTTCAGTTTGCAATTGGAATCCTAAAATGCTTTGATTTTTCTGATTTGCGATCATATGTCCGACGACAGTGCATCGAAACGGTCAGACAACGCGGCGCGTTTTCGAAAATATCAAATCAAAATAAACAAGACCACTCTGTTCCAAATAAATACAAAACACCATTAATTTTACGAAGTGTTTTGAAAACCAAGTTTTAACAAAAATTTGAAAAAAAAATGAATTTTAACTAAACCAAGACAACAAAAGTGGACTTAGGTTATTTTTGTCAAAAAACCAAAAAAAGTGGAAAAAATAGTGCAAAAATAAAGGTCAATTAAAACAAGGAATATTGAAATCAATTAACTTATCTCAAAAAATAAAAATAAACCACAGTGCAAGAAAACCACTGTGTTTTTTTTTCGAAAAAAATAAATAAATAAAATGTTAGAATTTTATCCAATGCCTACAAATCTAAATCATGGTGCCTCCTTGTATCCCCATCACCACCACCATCATCATCCTCCTCCACATCATGGTCAAAACCATGGTGGTGGTGGAGCCAGATTTCTGGATAATCCAAATGCCCAAAACATGAATGCCAACAACAACAACATAAATCAGCAACAACAAATGCTAGTCTCACCTAGTCTGGCTGCCTGCCCGCCAACACACAATAATCATAACAGTAATTCCTTAAACACCTGCTCGTCGACAGCTTCATTAACAGCTCAAACATCAGCCTGTCTGCCGGCCTCGAGTTCAGAAACTTCTCAGGCCACAGCAATTAGTACAATAAGCAACAACAACAACGGCAGTAACAACAACAACAATGGCAGCAGTTGTAATAACCTTAAACCAAATTTAAACTCTCACAACAACAACAACACAACATCGTCCTCCAACAGCTCCTGTTCCTCCGCCATTTCCTCCTCCTCATCCTGCCCCACAACAACATTGGCCACATCGTCTTCAAACTTATCGGCGGCAACAAATAATTGCAACACCAGCAGCAGCAGTGGCAGCGCCAGCTCCTCCACAAGCTGTACAAAATTATCTACGGACTGTAATGGACGCACAGGTTGGTATCATTCACACTTTGTTAAACAATGACCTCCGCATCATCATCATCATCATCATCACCAAGCATGGCAAAACTAGTTTCCCTGAACTTCTTAAGCCTTTTGGGGGATTTCAGGTGTATCTCTATGTATGTGTGTGTGAAAGTTAAAAAGTTCTGAACACAAAGTTTTTAGGTGAATTTTTCCAAAAAAAAGAGTGCAGAAAGAGTTTTTCTTTCTTTCCCCCCACCCAACAATTTTCAAATGTTCACCTTGATTTTCTACTCGAACATCTTCTTTTGTGTTCGTACACCCACTCCCCCCTCATCATCAATCATTAAACATAATGGCCAAAGACTTCCGTTAAATAATTCTTTTGGTTTTACAACTTAGGTGTTGGTATGTTTACCTTAATTTATTTACAAGTTTTGTTCAACTCTTTCACTTTTGTTTCTGCCAAGGTAGCAAATATTCGGTCAGTTTTTTTTTGGCATTCCTGTTTTTTACCAAAGGGAGGAGGGATTTGGGAAAATACTGGTACCGAAAATAAAATAAAATTTGTTAATAGATTTTTTTAGATGGTTTGGAATTTTTATCGCTTGGATGTTTAAGTTTGGAAACCAAAGTCTAAATGTTGAAGTTTATTTCGGAATAAAATTAGGAGAATTTCAAGAAAATTATTAATGAAAATAGTCTTTTTATAATATTTTGATAAAATAAGTGAAATTTTTGATTTTTATAGAGCATTATACAAAAGCATGTTCTATATCACAATAACGAAATAGAACCTAAAACAGATCCAGCAATTGGGAAGTTTTTGAGATGTTTTTTTTTTGAAATCGATTGGAAGTAACCTCGTTTTTATTTTCGTTTTTTGATGGTTAGATCTGTTTAGACTTAAATTTTATTTAAAATTCGAGAAATTTAGATTTTTTAGATCCAAAAATAATAATTTATCATTTGGGCGCCATTTCGCAACTTGAATATATTTTGAAAAATGTGTGCAAATATTTCTTTTGCCTATTTTAAATTGCATCCACATCGGCTAGAAGATGCGACAGTACCTTTAAACCACCTATGTAGTTCGAAGTTATAGTTAACTTTTTTGAAAAATAGAGCTAAAGCCGTTGAAGTGAGGCTTTTCTAAATTGTGACTTACAATGATACTTTTTAGGAGAAGGTTTTTTATTTTGAAGCACCAAATTGGAACTTGTTTCATTGAAGAATTTAAAAATGGTTCATACCCAAAAGATAAATTAGCCCTATTTTTTAGAAATGTTTATTATGAGACTATACCTGAATGTCGGTTCATATACACGCGGTTTATCATTACGTATCCTAGTTTGTTACAACGATTTGCTATAACAAAATGATCCGGTATTTATCCCTCATTTTGACAAGAGGGATAAATACCGGATATTTCCTCGAAATAGTATATCCCTGGAATTTTGATAAAAATAAACGATGAAAACTTCCCAATTCCCAAAAATACCGAAATTATGGAATGGAGCCTGCAAGTGTGACTTTGAATATTATTTTTAGTGCTGAATTTAAGTTGTTATTTTTTTCGTTAAAGCTTTAACACGAAAAAATATTGGCTATCGTCAAAAAGTTACAGAATTGGAAAAAATAATTTATATTCATTTCCGCCGGATAATACCTTCTTATGGAGGTTATAACAAAACCTGGACCCACGAAGATCTTCTTTTAATCTGTTGTATTTTAAACAAAATATACACGCGTTCAAAATTTAAGAGTATTATATCAGTCCAGCAGCAGATATATGGACATGTGAAATCGTCTAGATACTTTTGACATATCAGAATTTGTATTATTTAGGATGCTATTTTTATACCCTCAACCACATAGCTAGGGATAATATGTATCATTTGATACGGCCAAAACGTGCAGCATCGAAACAACGGCTTTAGACCCTAGGTCGGTTTGGACCAAATCCGTTTCAGGACAATTGGAGTCGATCTCGCAATGTCCATCTGTCTGTCTGTCTGGCTGGTGCACACAATAACTCTCGTAGGGAGTATCCAATTTGCTATAAACTTGGTACGTCGTAATATTTTTTCCAAACTTAGATCGAGTTCAGAGATGGACAGAGGTACCACTCCTTCTGGTACCTCCCCCAAAAAAGGTTGACATTTTCATGAAAAATATTTAACTGCACAAAAAGATAAAAGATACAAATTTGCAAATCCCAATATTTGCATCAGTGCTAGGTCAGGTGCGAAAATAGGTAATATCGGTCCACTTCTAAAGAACCTCCCCGATTTGAAGTTATAAGGTGATGTAAGAGTCAAATTGTCTTCAAATTACACACATCTCAATATTTTTACTAAGACCAGATCAGGTAAGAAGATGGAATATGTCGGTCCACTCCTTGTGGTACCACCTCCACAAAGGGTCAAAATTTTGATTATCTATGAAGCTCATAAAACGCGAAATTTACATCCAAATCCATCCAGACTTGGTACATCTCAATATTTCTATAACACAAGATCTATTATAAACATGGTAGATAACGGACCATTCCTTCTGGTACCTCTTCCACAAAGGGTCAATGTTTTGAATAACCAAAACGATTATATAATCCGAAATAAGCATCCGATTCTTTTATATATTTCACACATCCCATTTTTTCTAGTTACACAAAATCTACTGTGAAGATGGGATATATCGGCCCTCTGCTTCTGGTAACTTCCCCACAAAGGGTCAAAATTTTCAATTTTCATGAAGCTCATAAATGCGAAATTAACATCCGATTCCATTCAGACTTGGTACATCTCAATATTTCCATCAACACAAGATCTGTAATAAAGATGGTGGAGATTGGATCATTTTTCTGGAATCTCCCACTCAGATTTTGAAAAAGAGAGGCTCCAAAAAAGTGTAATAAGCATCCAACTCGCTTCAAAATTTACACACAAACATTTTTGCTAACACAAGATCCGTTGTGAAGATGATATATATATCTGCAAACCCCTTCTGGTGGCTAACCCACCAAGGGTTACAATTCTGCCCAAACAAAAATGGAATGCTTCGGTCCACACATTTTATTTATTTTTTTTTTTTTTTCTAAATATTATCACATATCTCATATAAAGTGAAGAAAGTCGTCGATATAGTCCAATCCTGTTCGATACGGACAACATTGGTCCATTCCTTCGGTACCTGCTCCATAAAGAGTCAACAATTTGACTCTCGAAGTCGAAATATTTATTATGTTGGGAAAACCGACTGTTACTTTTTAACTTTTTTGGAAAATGTTGAACTTGAATAGGTAACGTACCAGAAAGATTGAAGCTATGAACTCCAGTTTCACACTTCATCTCATACTAATGAAAATATTTGAAAACTCTGAGCATGTGTGGAGATGGTAGCAGAAGCAAAGGTATATCTTAAAAAGGGTCTATAAAATACTTAAACCTCTTACTGGGCTAATGAGGCTTTGAGGTAGGTGCCAAAATATTTTCAACAAGAAAGTTTTCTACCATTAAATGTTTCTATTTTCCATCTGCGTTGGTAATAATCGTTTTAGATTTTCTGGTTCTGGATTGGATTGGATTGGAATTAAGAAAGAATTCAATATTTCCCGAACATCTCTTTTATAATTCATAATTATATTTACTTGGGGGGTTACTATTCCATACCCAAAAATAAATTCTATGGAATTCCCTAGCAATTTCCCATTTTATTTGACAGGTCCCATCCAAAGAAAAAACGCCAACAAAGAACCTGTCATTTTTCCAACAACAACACCTAATATTGCCAATATTGACATAATTGAAGCTATTGTTTGTCATTTATGTCATTAAAAGCCAGTCAAATTATATCCATTCATCCATCCATCAATAGAACGATCGATATAGCATTGGCATGCCTGGTCGACATTTTGATAGCTTGTTCAGGGGTTTATCTGTACTCTTTTGTTTTTTTGGTTAATCTTATCTGCTTATCATCCGTTTGATAGTCGTCGCTTTCTGTTTTGATACTCATCTAAATAGGTTTGTATATGCGCCCATATTTGCATAAGTTCAACTTTAATCGGTTATCGTTATCTTAACTATTTAATGTCGATATACATACATACATATTGACAAAGGCAGGCAGGCAGGTTGGTTGGTAGATAGGATTTAAAGGGCAATATTTATTTTTAGTTCGATTTCAACGAATATGACAGTATTTATCATGTTGAAGGATTTGTGTCATATTTTTCAAGTATCACATGATAGTAGATTAGAATGTGGGAGCTAAATATGTATTTGGGATGGTGTTATTTGACAAATGTCAACAATTCAGGTGCATTTGTATGTATATCATCATATCATGTATATCATCGACTTAATTGCTAGTGCATTTTTAGAACATTTTAGGTACGAATGTACTGTTTGTTATGAATTTTCGCAAGGAAATAATCGAAATATTCTAATTTTAGAACCCCATATCAAGACACATTGTGGATGAGTATTCTGCTATGATATGCCTAGATCCTCGTAATCGAAAAAAAAAATAAATATCAGAATGTCTTATTTCTTGATATTCGAAATGCATGTATTTAATTGTTGCAAAAGCAACCCGCCCTAATATCTCATCCATGTGTTGCCTGACAATTTTCCTATCAAATTGTTTAATAGTTGCTAGCATTTTTCGTCAAATATTTGCTTCTTCCAAAATATTTGAAATATTTTTTTGCAACAGATGTAGGCACTTTCTAGTCATTCACAAACACATGATTTGCATTCAAGCACATACATATGTAAGTTCGTACATATTTATTTATTCACTGAAAATTAATGGTGGCATATCATTTACAAATATGAAATGTGATATCTAAAAATTTTCTTTAAAGAAAATCGCTTCAGCTCTGCTATTAATGGAAGAGCTTTTGAAGATTATCGATAGATAGACGATATATTACTTGTCCAGAACCACAGTACAGATTTGCTTGTTTTCACTCGGGACCGAAACTTGCTCGCGAGCGGGATCGAGTTCTATAAGGAGCTTACTC